CTTTAATGTTGTCTATTTTTGTCCTGAGTTCATTTTTCTCTTTATTAATCGTGTTCTCTGTTTCACTTTGGTGTTTATACAGTGCTTCTATGGTTTCCTTTATGTCTTCTTTTGCTTTTTCTCATTCTCTATTTTTGTTGTTTTGGAATTTCTTGAGCGTCTCCTGTACCTTTTGGTTGACCATATCCAGTATCATCTCTATAAAATTCTCATTGAGTACCTGTAGTATTTCTTCTTTTAGATTATTCTGGTGGGCTTCATTGGGTTCTTTGGCATAGTTTATCTTCATTTTGTTGCAGTCTGATCTGAGTATCTGTTTTCTTCATTTCCCTCTGGTTCCTGTACAAATCTTTTGCTGTGGGGAAACTGGTTTCCCTGTTTTTTCTGTCTTCCCGTCATTGCCCTTGGTGTTGTTATTGTCCCTGTACTGTGTGTGGTTAAGTATTTTCTGGCTTGTAATAATAGCACTAGTGATATTTAGAATGGAAGGGTGAGCAGAGATGGAAAGCAAGAAGTTAAAGGAAAAGGGAAAAACAAATAAAGAAGTAGAAAAAAACAAAACAAAGAAAAAAATTTCAAAGATAAAAACAGGGAGAGACAGTAAGCTTGTCCACATCTTCCCAAGCCGTCTCGGTGCTGGCGTCTGGCGGTGGCCCAGAGGCCCTCCTGATTTCTCTGTTTAATGTGAAGTGGAGATGCTCTGCACAGGCTGGAGGTGTAGAGGGGTCAAAGTTTTGCCTCTTCTCAGTGGCCTTGCCTGCAAGGTGTGTCTCCAGCATCTCTCCACGATTGCACTTTAGGAGGCACGCTTTCTGCTTCCTCCCTCTAGCCGCCATCTTGGAATCAGCTGAAGTGTTTTGCCTACAGACCTTGGATCCAGATCCTCCAACCTCTGCCTCTATAATAGCTGGGATTACAGGCATGCACCATAACGTATGGCCCCTTTTGTGCCTTTCTTGGCACTCATACAAGCATAAGTTCAAATTTATGAGATTTTTTTTCCAACTTGATATATATGACCATCTATCATTCTTAGTCTGTTGCTAGGTATCAGTTTTTTCCAGTTCTCTACTATAATCCATGTAGTTACTTTCTTTGTGCAAACATCCTTAGTATCAGAGTGAGCACTTAAGAGCAAAGCAGACTGAGGCACAGAATGATAGGAATGCCCAAAGTCACATTGTTGGTTGACATACTTTTTTTTTTGGTGGTGCTGGGGATCAAACCCAGGACCCCATGCATGCTAAGCAAGCACTCTATCACAGCCCCATTTTCTTTTTTTTTTGACTGTTTGTTTTTCAGGTTGTTGAAAGGCTTCTATAGTGCTCATTGAAAGTAATCTGAAATATTAGAAGATACCCAGACTTTGGGACCAGTGTAGTTTTTAATTTATGTCCTGGGACATACTGGCTACAGTAAATTTAGGCAAGCCACTTAACATTCTAAATCTTCCTCCATTAAATCCATGCCTTAAGAAAATATACTTGAAGCACTTGACACATAGGAGATGCTGGTAAATACAATCATCTTTGGATTGTGAAATACTAGCTAAACCTTAGTGAGTGCTAGACACTGTGTTCTGTCATGTATTCCTCACAGCAATTCTGAGTATGGGGGTGGAGAGGTGAAATGCTCATATACTTGTAAATGGAGAAGCCATGATTCAAACGTCACCACTTTGAGAGCCAGCTGCTCACCACACAATTACTATGATGTGTGCTGCTAGAACGGGGCTTCATCTTTGGTTGACTCTTGACATTTTGAGCCAAATAATGCTTTCTTTCAGATGAAGGTCTCACTGTATTGCCAAGACTGGCTCCAAACTTGTACCTCAGCTTCCCCAGTAATTGGGATTGCAGGTACACACATCATTGCACCCAGCCAGATAATTCTTGTCAGGGTTGTCCTGTGCAGTGGAGGATGTTTCTATCCAGTAAATGACTACTCCCCACTCCCGTGGCAATAAAAGATGTCTGTAGACATTGCTAGAGATGTTTCTGGGGGACAAAATCACCCTGGCTGGAAATCACTGTCCCAGAGGAGGGCATGTGTGTGGAGAAGAGATGGAGAGATTACCTTGAAGTAGTTGAAAACATATAATTGAAATTCAACAGAATTAAAGATGTGATTTGAAAGTCATTGTTAGTGGTAGTTATTCTTTCACAGAAGAAAAAAGTATATATTAACTTTAAAAAAGGGGACAGAGTAGGGGAAACAATAAATGAAGAAGAGTCAAGGATTGAGAGAGAAGGAACAGTCATAGGGTGCTAAATTAATGAAAAACTCTTGAAACTAAAAAATTATATTCATTTTAAATGTTTGGTACATGCTAAAGGAAACAATAGAATTTGGCTAGGAGCTTTATCAGTTTTTTCATTTTAATTTGTCATGTCTTATTGCCCCAAAATTTGCCTTTCTTTCAGTTAATATTTTAGTTAATAAGAAAAAAGTGAATTACTTTGTTTTCTATAGAAAATAATTTTATTTCAGGTTGCCGAGGAGCCCAGGTAGAAGAAATATGGAGTTTAGAACCTGAGAACTTTGAAAAATTAAAGTGAGTAAAATTTTAGTTGTGTTATAAAAGGGAAAATGGGAACTTAAGTATATAGCTACTGTTTTTAATAGGAAGATGGAGTGCTGAGACTGTAGCTCAAGTGGTAGAATGCTGGCTTACAAAGCCCTAGGTTCAATCCCCAGCATTGAAAAATAGTAAGAAGGAGATGGTTTGCTTCCTCCCACCTTCCTCTTTCTCATAAAAGGAGCAATCACTTTAGAAGAAAAAAGAGATCAAGTCTCGCCAAGATCAGGGAAGGTTAATTAATGATGTATCATTTGAACTGTATTTAAAAAGATATTGAAGAATTTTGTTGAAGGGAAGGCAGCTGTGAAAGGTAGACGAGAAGAAATCCTACAGCAATGACTTAATGTTTCATGCAAATCAGCAGTTCCATTAGGAATGTGAATGACATAATGTATGAGATGACATCTACCATTCATACTGAGTTTGAGGAGTGTACATGAAACCAGTAATTATATGAAGAGAATTTCCTGTATTTAATAATATATGCACTGTCAGCTATTTATCTGTGAACATCATCCTAAAGGGATCTTATTCATACATCTAGGATTCCAATCTAGGTTAAATAGCTTTTAGCTATGTTCTGACTTGTCTACGTTCAAGTGAGGTGATAGAAGGTAGAAATTAATAATTCATAGATTTGAAAATAAACCTTTTATATAAATCTATTTTAAGTGATGTGATTTAGTTTTAATAGCTTCTAAGGCAACATTCTAGTGATTACAGATGGCAGTAACAATCTCTAAATTTTCCCATTTTTACTTAATTAATTTCATTTGTGTTGCATTTTGTTAAATAGCTGACTAGTTTAATATATTAATAATGTGTTATGAAGAAATCAGAGTTTGGTGTCACTAATTTGCCTTTTTATTTTATAGGCCAGTTCATGGATTAATTTTTCTTTTCAAATGGCAACCAGGAGAAGAACCAGCAGGGTCTGTGGTTCAGGACTCCAGATTGGATACAATATTTTTTGCCAAGCAGGTATGGTCCTTGGGTACTCTGAAAAGTCTCAAGATCCAGGGGACTCTAGTCTACCTGTGTGCTTTTAGTCTGGCAGGCCTCAAACTTTTTTGTTCCCAGGAACCCTTTACACATTTGAAAGTTATTGCCCCAAAGAGTTGTCATTGGTTGGTACTTGTGGCTTACGCCTGTAATCCTAGCTACTCAGGAGGCAGAGGAGGATTGTGGTCCAAACGGGGCAGTAGTTTACTAGACCCTATTTTGAAAATAACCAACACGAAAAAGGGCTGGCAGAGTGCCTCAAGTAGTAGAGTACCTACCTGGCAAGTGAGAGGTCCTGAGTTCAAACCCTAGTACTGCCAAATAAAAGCTTTTGTGCAATATTTACCATATTAGACATTAAAACTGAAACAGTTAAAGCAACAGTTAAACAATAAAGTTATTACATGTTAATGTAAATAACTCCCCCACACACATTCCCCCCACCCTGTGGTAATGGTGGTAATGGGGACCAAATGCAGGGCCTCATGCATACTTAGTGATCTATCACTAAGCTGCATCCCCAGCCTGAAATAACATTTTTTCATGGCAGTATTGGGGTTTGAACTCAGTGCCTTGTGCTTAATAGGCAAACACTCCACTACTTGAGCCATGCCCCTAGCATTTCCTGAAATAACACATTTTTAATTTCAAATCTGTTTAATGTCTGCCTTTATAGCACCAGGGATCCATCGTCCACACTTTGAGAACTATTGTTGTAGTGTATATAGTGATTAGAAAAATAAATTAAAATGCCTTAAGGGAAATTACAAATTATATTTGTGAAGAATTGGGAGTAAGAGAGTGTTCCCTAATGGAGAACACAGTCTTATCAATGCATTTTTCAGACAAACTATGACTAAAAATTTAAGGATTACTAACTATTCATAAAACTTTAAAAGCCAATAGCAACACACAAAGTGGAAGACTTAAAAGAATTAAAAGGAGGCCTGGAGGGGGCGTTCATATCTGTCATCCTACCTACTTGGGAGACAGAGATCTTGAGAATCATGGTTCCAGGCAGTTCAGGCAAAAAAAATTTTGAGAGACACCATCTCAACAAGTGGCTTGGGCAGTGTTGTCTGTCATCCCAGGTACTTAGGGAAGCTAAATAGGAGGATTGAGGTTCAGATCAGCCTAAACATAAAGTGAGACCCTATCTCAAAAATAACCAACATTGGTAGAGTTCTTGCCTAGCAAGCACAAAGCACTGAGTTCAAACCCCAGTACCACCAAAAACAAATAAGTAAATGTATATATATAACTAATCAAGATGGGCTGGGGGAGTGGCAAGTAGTAGAGCGCAAGTCCCTGAGTTCAACTCCCAGTACTGCCAAAATTAAAAAAAAAAATTAAGGAGAGAAAATAATTGAAATATTTTCTTCTGAAATAGGCAGGACAGAAATAAATAATTTGCTAAACTATAAAAACATAAACTAGAAAGATTAGACAATGAATTTATTACAATATAGTAACAAAAGTAACAGTATGACTAAGCTATATATTTTTTTTTTTTTTTAATTTTTGGTGGTACTGGGGTTTGAACTACAGCCTCACACTAGTTCTAGTTCTCACTAGAACTCTACCACTTGATCCACTCTGGCCATACCTTTTTTGTGATGACTATTTTTGAGATAGGGTCTCATGAAGTGTTTGCCCAGGCTTGCTTCAAACTGCGATTCTCCTGATCTCTATCTACTGAGTAGCTAGGAATACAGCCATGAGCCACCAGCGCCCAGCTTGAGCTATATTTTTAAAAATAAACTGCAGTTAAATTTGCTTAGGTTCACACTGATCATCTCAGGTTCTTTCCAACTCTATGATCTTAACATTGTAGGTGCTGTAAGAAGTATGGAAGAAACCACTGTTCATAAGTAGTTTGTAATCTTGTTGGAGAACCTGTCTAGCCTGATGGCTAGGTACCCAGATTCTAGACCCAACTATCTCTTAATTAGGTGTGTGCCCTGGGGAAGTTACTTAACCTCTTTGTGCTTCAGCATCCACAAGTGTAAAATGAGGATAAGAATATTACTCCTTCATAGTTTCTTGAGGGGATTAAAAGAATCCATATATATAAAATGCCTAGGAAACTACCTGGCACCTAGTAGGTGCTATCTAAATGTTTTCTACTATGCCAAGAAAGTATGGTCCACACAATTTGTTAAATGAACATGTAACAGCTAGATGACAACATTGTAAAGACTATGTGATTGATTAAAACAATGTATAGACTACACAGATGAGGGTAGGTCCTAATATGGGTTGTTTGAGGTTTCCTAAAATCTTCAAGTCCAGAGGATTACAGCAAATCCCTGAAAATAGACTAGAATAGAAACTCAACATGTTTATTAAATTTGTGCCAAGACTATATGAAATAAAATTTGAAAACTTAACATTTTGGGGGGCATTGTCACCAGTTAAAAACTTTTTGAAAAAACAAATTCATAGTATCTTTGCTTTTATTTTTTTATAGGTAATTAATAATGCTTGTGCTACTCAAGCCATCGTAAGTGTGTTATTGAATTGTACCCATCAAGATGTCCATTTAGGAGAGACATTATCAGAGTTTAAAGAATTCTCACAAAGTTTTGATGCAGCTGTGAGTATAGCCGTCTTCTTAATCCTGAAATAACCTATTTATGATAGCTCTTTTTTTAATAGGCTATTTTTAAAAATTCTTTCAGATGAAAGGGTTAGCACTGAGCAATTCGGATGTGATTCGACAAGTGCACAACAGTTTTGCCAGGTAAAAAGACTTTATGTTAAGTAATTGCTATTTCTTTTTTTGTTTCTTTGTCTCTCACTATTGTTTTTTTAACCGCAGACAGCAAATGTTTGAATTTGATGCAAAGACATCAGCCAAAGAAGAAGATGCTTTTCACTTTGTCAGTTACGTTCCTGTTAATGGAAGACTGTATGAATTGGATGGATTAAGAGAAGGACCAATTGATTTAGGTAATCTGGCTCCTCTTCCTGAGTGTCAACCTTTATTTTAGCCACAATGCCGCTTAAATTTTGAACAAAGTTACTATGAACTAGTATAATATTGATGGTCTTAAGCTCTTTATGAAATTAAATAATATGTAGGAAGGACATGTTGATTACTGCATTTCAATTGAGACCTTTTAATTTTTTCTTGAAAAGTACTTTTTTTAAAGATCAATCACATCATAAATGTATATTTTATTGCCTAGTTAATTTAAAAACTACTCTTAGTGAACTTGAAAAGTTGTTCTTGTCCTTTTTAATCTATTGGTAAGGAGTAGTTACCATTTCTTACCATCTTGCATTGAAATATTTTCATTTGGAATTGAATCATTTAGAATCACTTTAGTTCATTGCTTAGCAATCTACTATTTTTCATCAAAATTTCTATTTAAATATTGCATTAATATGCTATGCTTTATACCATAAGAGTAGATTTTTTCTGATCCCACTCCACCTTTAACTTGAGTAGAATGATAAACGGTTATTGAGGGTGAGGATACAGCCTGTGATTCTGAGATATGACTGAAATAGTAGGACAACACAAGAATTTTTTTTCTGTGTGTTTGGGGTTGAGCTCAGGGTTGCACGTGTGCTAGGAAAGCACTGAACCACTTCCAATTCCCCATGAAAGAGTTTTAACTTAAATTTCTTCTTTTTTAAAAATTGTGTTGAAGTCCATCAAACTTGTTTCAGTGAATCTGATGTTTTATGCTATTCATAAAACTTTATACTTTTAAACTTCAAAAAATGTAGGACTGGAGGCATAGCTCAGTGCTGAAGTGGTTATCTTGCATGTGTATAGCTCTGAGTTGGATCCCTGTCCCTGCTAAAAGGATAAAAAAAGAAAGTTAACAGGTTCATTTTGTTTGTACTTTTTTTTTTTAAATCAAATCCCACATAAAGGATCAATAGTGACTAGTACAGATTTGCTTGCTACCTCTGCATTTAAAAATATGTTTTATATCTGCTCTAGAGAGCTAGTAGGATGCTTTTTTAATTCTGTGGGTGCTGGGCTCCATAGTGTGGCAGTTGACCTGACCTCTGCATGCTCTCCTGACTTCCGTCTGCCCAATTCTTATCCAGTACATCAGCAAATGAAAAGGAAGGAAAAGATAACATTAAAACAGAGCAGCCAGTTCTACTGTACTGTTGCTATGCTGTAACATCTGGCGAAAAGAGAATTAAAACATTATGGGGGGGGTTTCAGTTTTTTATTTCATAGTTATGATTAGACAAATAAGGATTGAATTCTTTTTTTGCCACTGACCTGTGGGCTGGTTTTTCTAAGCCTTCAATTTTATCATCTGTAAAATGAGGGTCCTTATCTTACAGCACTGAAAGTTTAAATGGGATAACTTCCTAACCATTACTTTCTCAAATATTTGTTTAGTGTCTGCTAAGTCACATGGTGATACGACAAGGCAAATCATGATAAATATTCATTCTCCTAACCATTGCTAAGAAAATAAGAATCAAGCTTAGTATAATTATACCAAAAAGATTTGTACTGCCTAGGCTTGGTGGCTCATGCTGTAATCTTAGCACTTGAAAGGCTAAAGCAGAAGATTGGGAGTTCAGCCTGGGCTACATAGTGAGGACCTGTCTTAAAAAAAAAAAAAAAGAAAGAAAGAACAAAAAGAGCAAAGAAAGAAAAGAAAACATTTGTACTGACCTGAATTTGCTAAGCATTTGTAAAAACATATTTTAGATGAAACTTCTGAGAAATGTTAATGTTGATTTTTCTTATTTGTAACTGTTTTTAAATTTCTTTCTAGGTGCATGCAATCAAGATGACTGGATTAGTGCAGTGAGGCCAGTCATAGAAAAAAGGATACAAAAGTAAATGCTCAGCTGTGTCATTGCCTTTGCAGTCTGGTTTTTAAGGGGTTTGTTTGTTGTTCCTTGATTCTTTAGTGCTGTGTACTGAACATCTAATTTTGATTGGATTAATGCATTAGGAAACCCATTGCAGAAAATGTCTGAATTTTACATAGAAATATGACATCTTGCTGGGTGTGGTGGTCCACACCTGTAATCTAGCTCTCTAGAAGCTGAGGCAGGAAGATCATGAGTTTCAGACCAGCCTGGGTTACACAGTGAGATCATGTTTCAAAAAAACAAAAAAAAAAGAGAAAGAAATATGACATCTTATGTTTAGAGAACACGGACATGCTGATCCATTAAGTGAGATATTTCCTGTTGTCATGTATTTGTACAGATTTCTTTAGAGTTTTGCTGAGGATTTTTAAAAAAATATTAGACTTTTAATTTTGTGATAGTGACATATTCACATTCAGTTGTAAAAAATAATACAGAGAGATTATATGTACTCTTTGCCTTGCAATCATAACGTCATGCAAAACTGTAGTATCATGTCCAGGGTGTGGCTATTGATACAGTTGAGACATAGCAAAATTCCATCACCACAGGGATGGACCTTTTATAGCCACAGATACTTCCCTCACCCACACCTGCCTCTCCATCTTCACCTCAATCCCTAGTTCTGTAGTTTTTTTTCACTCAGCATAATTCTCTGGAGATTCATCCAGGTTGTTAAGGAAATCATTCATTCATTATTAGTGCGTAGTATTCTAGGGTATGGAAATACCATTTTTAACCTATTCACCCACTGAATCGATTGATTATGAATAAAGCTTCGATAAACATTTTTGTACAGACGTTTATATAGGCATAAGTTTTCAGTCCTCTGGGATAAATGCTCAGAGTGTCATCATCAGGTTGTATGGTAAATTTGTGCTTTTTTTCAGAAATCACCAAACTCTTCTGTAGTGGCCATACCATTTTATATTACTACCAGCAAAGTGCGAGTGATGCAGTTTCTCTGCGTCCTTGCTAGCACGATCATGATCTTTCACTGCACTTTTCATCGCATTTTCCTAATGATGCTGAAAATCTTTTCACACCTTTGCCCGTTTTCTAACTGGATTTTGCTTGTTTGTTTTGATGTTAAGCCTGACATTCCATACGTACTTTAGATACTTGTCCTTGATCAGACATGTGGCCTGCAAATATTCTCTCCTAGTCTGTAGCCCATCCTCCTGACATGATCTCTCATGGAGCAAAAAGTGTTAATCAAGTCAAATGTATTGGTGTTTCCCACTGTGAATTGCATTTTTGCTGTCGTATTTAAGAGTTCTTTGTCTAGCTTTGGATCTTGTATTTTGTTTGTTTTTTCCTAAAAGGTTTATTATTTTACATTTATGTCTGTTACATGTTTTGAAGTAATTTTTGTATGTAATCTGTATGTCATGATTTGGTCTTTTGCTTATATATGTTTAATTTCTCTATCATCATGAGTTACAAAGGCTACCCATTCTCCACTTAGTTCCTCTTGCTCCTTTGTAAAAAAAAAATTGGAAATACTTGTGTGGATCTATTTCTGGGTTCATGCTTATTGGTTTTTCTTTTCTTTCTTTCTTTTTTTTTTTTTTTTTGGTCCTTCTTCCTGAACTGGTGTAAGCTGCAAGTCTTGAAATGAGATTGGCTGGTGCCTTCCACTTCATTCCATTCCTTTTTTCAAAATTGTTTTAGTCATCATAGTTCCTCTGCCCTCCCTGTAAGTTTTACTGTCATTTTTCTCTACAGTTACATTCTTAGAGCTGGGTACTGGTGGCTCACACCTGTAATTCTAGCTGCTTGGGAGGCAGAAACCCAGAGGATTGCAGTTTGAGGCAAATAGTTCTTGAGAGTATATCTCAGAAATACCCAACCCAACATAAAAAAAGGGCAGTCAGATTGACTTAAGTGGTACAGCACCTTCCTAGCAAGCGTGAGGCCAGTACACCCCCCGCTGGAAAAAATTCTTAGAATAGAAATTGGGGTGAGAATTTTGTCAAACATTAATTCGAAAGAAGTGCTATGTCCACTATGTTGAAACTTCAGTCCATGAACATGGTATGTCTCTCCATTTACGTAGATCTTCTCTGGTTTCCTTTGTCAGTATTTTGTGGTTTTCAACATATAAATTTGTCTGAATTCATACAAAGCACTGTATATTTTTGAGTGATACTATAAATGGTGTGTTTTAAATTTTTACTTTTATGTGATTATTGCCAGTGCATGGAAATGGAATTGATTTTTTTTCCTCCTCCTTTGTCTTGCATTCCTTGCCCTTGCTGAACAGATTTAGAGTCTGTACATTTTCCATATAGACAATATGTCATTTGCAGAAATGGACAGTTTCAAATTTGTCCATTTTTCCTTGGAGTTTTATCCATTTGCTTTATATGTTTTCCAGCTCAGTTGTTTGGTGCATGAAAACCTATGATTACTGTTTCTTTTTTGGAGTGATCTTTTTATCAGTATCTTATACCCCTGTCTGTCTCTAGTAATTTTCTTTGTTGTGAAGTTTATCTGTTAATAATATAGTCACTTTTTCTTTTGATTAGTACATACATATCTTTTCCCATCATTTTTGTTTTCAACTTATGTCATATTTGAATTTTCTCATAAGCAGCATGTGTTGAAGTTTTTAATCAAACACTCTACCATTCTGGCTTTTATTTGATGTATGAGATCATTTGCATTAAATGCAATGTGCTTGTAAAATTACATATAAAATTAAATGTATGTTTAATTACATACTGTGGTTTATCCTGTTTGGTTTTTTTTTTTCCATTTCTCTATTTTCTTCTGCTTTCCTGTAAGTTCTTGAAACATATTTTAGGATTTTGTTTTTATCTGTAGTATTTTTTAGCACATTTCTTTGTCTTTGTTTAGTGGTTTCTCAGGCTTATCACAGCCTATTGGTGCCAACATTTTAACCAGTTTGAGTGCAATGTGGAAACCTTATCTTCCTTCCCCTATTACGATAATTGTCTTGCATAATTCCTGTCTGTACATTTTAGGAGTAAATCAGATGATAATATAATTTTTGCTATTTTGCATTAGCTATTCTTTTAGGGTAGGTCCTCTATCAACAGATTCCGTATTTTTCTTCATCTGACAGTATCTCGATTTCCCTTTCACTCCTGGAGAATATTTTCACTGGATGTGGAGTCAGGATCAACAGTCTTCTTGAAGCACTTGAAGGATGTCACTGTGGATTCTGATGGTAAACAGAGTCGGCTCCCCAGCAGTGTGGTGTTCCTCTCATGCTGTTCTCAGGATTTTTTCTTCATCTTTAGTTTTCATGAATTTGACTACGATGTTTTGGTGTGAATTTCTGTACATTTATCCTATTTGGGACTTTGCTTAGCTTCTTAAATCTGTAGGGTTATTTATTTATTTATTTTTATCACATTTGGGAAGTTTTCAGCCCTTATATATTGGAATTAATTTTCAACTTCACTCTCTTTCTCATCCCTTTCCTCAACTCCAAGCAAGTGACTATTAGATTTTTGTTTAGTTTCATAGGTCCTTGAGGTTTTGTTCTTTTTTTTTTTTCAGGTTATTTTCTTTTCTCTTTTCAGAGTGGGTACTTTGTATTTGTCTAGTTCATTCTTTCCTGTCTCCTCCATTCTGCTCTTGAGTGCATTTATTGAGGCTTTTGTTTTGGTTTGGCGTAGTTTTTTGGTTATTGTATATATTAATTGTAAGATTTCCATTTGGCTCTTCTGTTTCTTTGCCAAGGCTTTTCGTTTTTCACTTTCACATTGGATCATTTTTGCAAGACTAGTAAAATCTTTGTCAGATAATTTTGACCTCTGGCATCTATCAAGCATCTTTTTTTATTCAAGTTGAGACTTTTGTGGTTTTAAATATGGTAAGTGGTTATTGACCAAATGCTGAACATATTAAGTATTACGTAATAAGATCTGAATCTTACTTAAATTGGGGGTGCTGCCTCATTACTGCCAGGTTGTAGAACCCAGGTTTCCTATTGGGCCTCTCTTGACCTTGAGCATTAAGGAGGTTCCTTTGGTTGCTGGTTAGCATTGGGAGTTCTGGTCCCCAGCAGGGATTCCAGTGATATCATTCAGTCTGCTGTGGGTAGGGTCCCAGACTTTTTCTTTTTCTGTTGTTTTGGCTGTTGTAGCACGATTATTGTCTTGAGGTTTCTATCTTGCCAGGCTGCTGCTTTCCTGTTTGACTAGAGAGAGCAGCCTTCGATGTCCATGCCTGTTGGCATGTCAGGGGTGCCGGTTTCTTCAGCTTCAGGTCTGCGGCATATGAGGCAGAAAAAGGACTCGGAATTCACCATCCCGTCACTCTTGTGTCCTTAGTTCCTAGCTTGTCTGCCTTCTTTACACCTCTGAAAACTTTCTCTATTTAGTATATTATGTCCAGGGCATTTACTTATATTTAATGGGAAGAACAGAGACATGGAAATCCCACAAGTAGAATTTCTAAAACATTTTCACATAGTTCAGAGCACTGTAGTTATATGGGCCCTGTTCTTTCTAGCAAACAGAACTATAGGAAATTCTCAGAGATAAACTAACGCAAATATGGACTTACTATATATATAAATGCCAGTTCTTACTATAAATAACTTAGGCAATGAAGATTTCATTGGTATCAAAGTAGCAAAGGTCAAATAACATTCAGAAATTTTACTATTGGCGATAATTATAAATTACATTAAATATTATGAATTTTACGTATTTCTAAGATAAATACAATTTAAATATATTAATTAAAAATAGAAGCTACATCATGACTTGGAAAAAACTGTATAGTAAAGAGTATCAGCCAGACACTGGTGGCTCACTCCTGTAATCCTAGCTACTCAGGAGGCAGAAATCAGGAGGATCTTGGTTTGACAGTCGCTACAGCAAATAGTTCATGAGACCCTGTCTTGAAAAACCCATCACAAAATAAAGAGCTGGTGGAGTGACTCAAGGTGCAGGCCCTGAGTTCAACCCCAGTACTGCCAAAAAAAAAAAAAAAAAAA